CCATGCATAGTATAAGGGAAGGAGAGAGAGAGACATTGAGAAGAATAAAAATCATGTTTACACCTGCTTCTATGGTGCTGAAAACTAGCTCCTCTACTCAAATAACTGCAGAGTTGGGTGTGTTATTATGGTGTTTGCCTCTCTCCCGTCTTCAGCAGCTGCCAAACAAGTGAACATGGATTTCTGAAATTTCCCAGCTGTTCCATTTGTGATTGGTACCATTTAATTAATAAGGAATGGCCTGTCAGCCGTTCCCTCTCCAAAACCCACCCAAGATTGGCTTTTTGTGGCATTATAATGAAAATGGAGAGGGTTTCCTGGTATCAGTTCCCTGTTACCTCCCAAGTTAAACACAGCCCCTGGTTATATTCCCAGTAGGGCCGGTGGAGGAGGTGGTGGGTTTTAATGTATCTAGGAGGGTGGCTGTGTGAAGGTGACTGTGGGTCAATATCAGTACTTCCAACCATCCCAATTGTGGCAGGGCATTTCCAATTGTAGGTTCTTTCCCACCATCCCGATTTAGTTCTCTGGTGTCCTACAGGATAGACCCTCTCCTTACTGCATTGCCAGTGACATTGCCTGATCTAATACCTCCCTACCCTGGGGGATACACAGTATGGAAGAGGTTGGGGAATATGAGACAGGGTGCATGATAGTTGAATATAATTCCTGGGAGCTGGTAAAAGTGTCAGTGTGGGTTCACATTACCACCACACACAATCTAGTTGGGTGAGTGACTATAAAGAGAATAGAGAGGAATTTTAGACATAGTAAATCCACCTTGAAATGTGAGGTGCCTAGATGCAGTGCACCCCGTTGGCTCACCACCTGTGGTCTTAAGGTTGTAATTCTGCAAAAGTTCGGAATCTATCTTTTGGCCATTCAGCTTGAGATATTTGTAACTCATTTCATAACTGCAGGAGACAGGAAGAGGTTTGATGAGTGCTTAAAATTCCAATCGCATAATGAGTTTCACAGCGGGTAGGCTGAAATGTATTCTCCAAAATATCTTAAATTCTGCTGAACTGTAAAAACAATGTTAACACAACATATATAAACAGTTTTATGTGCTACTGATTCATGTACCATTTTTAGTTGACAGAGCTACTTTAACGACTTTATTATAGAGAATTTGTCTGGCAAACCCTCCCTATTTCACACAACATCACCAGACAAATGTTTCATACTTCGGCACAAATTAAAATGCTTGGAACATAAGAGGTTTAAGCAAAAAAAAAAAAAAAAAAGTATCATAAATTGCTAATTCTAGAAGATTATGGAGGAAGTTAAACAAAACAAATATAGTCAAAATTACCATTTGGGTAAATACAGTGGCTCATAATGTCACATAATGTAATGATATTACAGGGTTTAAAAACAGTTTAAAGAGGTTGCTCTGCCCCAGAAGAACCCAGGACAAATATTTAAATGTCCAGATTACTGCATTTGCATAGGTAAGTGATCACAAACAGCGTTTTTTTTTTGTTTTGTTTTTTAAGAGGTTAACGTCATCATTCACAGGTAGCTTCACGTGCAAAAAAATTAAAAATGATGGCATCAATGATAGATTTGGCTGACAAAAAAAATGATATATGCCGTTTTTGTCTCTTGATAACTTCTGCGTTGTATTTACCCATAGAAATGGAGTAAGTTTAATCTATAAAGAAAAATATAATTTTGTTATAATTACATTTCTAAAAGATTGTGACTGTAAAAAAAAACAAAAAACAAAAAAACTGCCAAAATTAACAATTTGGTAAGTGCAGTTTTGGTTTCCTAACTTGTTCTACAATATTTTTTAACTGATACACATAAACTATAACTATCATTTTTCTAAGGAGGTCTATCTATAATGGTGTAACACAATGGTATTAAGCAACTACATTGTGGAGAAAGGAATAATTACATATGTAAATTTACATTTTTTTTCCATGAAGTGCTGAATAAAACAAACTTTGTGTAAAAGATTTCTAAACTTAAAATGTTATACAGATTTGGAATATGTACTATTCAAAGGAAAGTTCCAAGTACCATAACCATTATAGCCCACTGGGGACCGCCAGGTGCTCTTACTCACTCGCTGAGAGCGATCAGATGACAATGCCTCAACAATTGTATTTGTAGTAGAGTTATATTTTTAGTAGACTTGTGCATTCAGTTCCAAACAAATTGAGACTCGTCTAAATTTTGGGCAATTGCTCATTAGTCCAAAAAAATAAATGTTTTTTGGACTAATCGATTCAGACAAACCAAATCTTTTAGTCGTGCACAAGTCTAAATTTTAGGAAAAACAGGTAAACTCGTGGTGAGGGTACTACATGTTTACATTTTGGAAATAAACAACTATGGTATTATAATAATATATGGTATTATAGTAATCAGAAGTAATGGAGGAATGTAACATGCATCACATGATAAAACTGTTATAAAGCAGTTGTATAGACATTTTACCTTTTATTTTGTGTATTTCTATTCAATTTATTTAACATTTGCTGGTGGGTGTAAATAGACATTAACAGCTTACTAAAAGGAACATTCCAGTGGAACACAATGTATATTTTTCTTAGCAATTTAGTACATATATTCCAAATGAAAACATGCATGCATTTATTTATGCATTGGTTTTTATCGATGTATACACTTGTGCTCAAACATTTGCATACCCTGGCAGAAATTCTGAAATTTTGGCATTGATTTTGAAAATATGACTGATCTTGCAAAAATGTTTTATTTTATTGAAGGATAGTTATCCTATGAAGCTAGTTATTATCAAATAATTGTTTGGCTCCTTTTAAAACCATAATAACAGAAATCACCTAAATGGCCTTGATCAAAAGTTTACATACCCTTGAACGTTTGGCCTTCTTACAGACACACAAGGGAACACACACAGGTTAAAATGGCAATTAAAGTTTAAGAAAAAACCCACAGGTAACCTCAGGAGAAATACAGGCTGCACTGGAAAAAGACTGTGGTTGTTTCAAGGAGCACAATATAGTTACATAGCTGAAAAGAGACTTGCGTCCATCAAGTACAGCCTTCCTCACATATGTTTTTGCTATTAATCCAAACAAATATGACGATACTTAAGCAAAAATGAGCTGCATCGTCTAGTTGCCACAAAAAAGCTTGGTTAATCTAAAGGCATGGGGAATCTTGTTAAAATTGATGGCAAGATGAGTTCAGCATGTAATCAGAAAATACTGGCAGACAATTTGCATTCTTCTGCACAAAGGCTGCGCATGGGACAATCTTGGACTTTTCAGCATGTCAATGACCCTAATCACAAGGCCATGTTGACCCTCCAGTGGTTACAGCAGAAAAAGGTGAAGTTTCTGAAGTGGCCATCACAGTCTCCTGACCTTAATATCATCGAGCCACTCTGGGGAGATCTCAGACATGCGGTTCATGCAAGTCGACCAAAGACTTTGCATGACCTGGAGGCATTTTTCCAAGGCGAATGAGCAGCTTTACCATCTGCAAAAATTAGGGGCCTTATAGACAACTATTACAAAAGACTGCACGCTGTCATTTCATTTTTTTCTTTGTTGCCATGTTTTGTTTTATGATTGTGCCATTCTGTCATAACCTACAGTTGAATACGAATCCCACAAGAAATAAAAGAAAGGTGTTTTGCCTGCTCACTCGTGTTTTCTTTAAAAATGGTACATATATTACCAATTCTCCAAGGGTATGCATAGCACAACTGTATCTAAAAACAGCTTGGAAAACTGAGATATCTCTTCTGAATACTTTGCAAGCCTTCTCCTTCTTTCCCAGTCCATACTTTCTATATCTGTTCAACCACAGACTTCCCAATGTAGCTCAATGAAAAGTCTTTGCAAGGCAGGTGCTCTCGGCAATTGCTGCCTCTCGAGTTTAGCTCCACTGAGCTAAACAACCAGGAAGTAACAGGATCGGTTGTCAGACTTGACAACCGGGGGGTGTAACAAAGTTAATTTATAAATGTGCCACTAGTTTCAATTTACCCAGCAAGCTAACCTGCTTTTGCAGTCTGGAGTGCCCCTCTAAATATACTTGCTACTGCATCCCCAGTCATTTGCAAGTGACTGCCACCATTTCCACAAGAGAGGACCCAGATGATATGGCAGCTGCATGTTAGTAGCATATTTTAGTATGTTGACATGTGACAACTCTGTTACACCAGGACTAGATCTCTTGGCTCACATGTACCTGAGTTACTCATCACAGCAAGTTTCCTCTGGTTCTGCGCAATGCTTCTGTGTTGTGAATTTTATAATAATCTGATAAATATAATTAGAAAATAATTTTTAACATTACATTTTGCTGGTGACTACAGCTTTTTCCAATTTAAGAAGGAAAGTAAAGGTCAGAAAAAACATCCAAAGCAATTGTCCATAATGAAATATACTATTTGCGCAAGATTTCAGGTCTTTTACGTCAGTATGTGACACAAAACACATTTGGCCGTGATGTTTTTGGATAGTATTCTGTTAGATTTGCACGGCAGGGAAGTGTTATTTTTACCTATTCTGCGGGAGAAGTTTGTTCTCGGTTATAAATAATTGGCTATAATCTTCAAGTCTTGCAAAGCATTAATTGGTTTATTTACCAAAACAGGAATTGGAAAGAATAGAATTAAAATTTTGCACCACATGAGCTGGGAACAAATGGGGGGCGGACGCTTTCCCCCTGCTATCCTGAAACAAAGCTCCGTAATACTCTACTACCTCCACCCCCCCATCCCTGTCCCTGCCGACCTGAGCTGCCACATCCAAACCCGTCCCCGAGGACCCTGTACTACTCTTGAGCAGTTCGGGAGTGGAGGGAACCAAGATGGTGGACGCCCAGGGCTCCTATACAAGCAGCCTAAAATTGTTTCAACACAATGCAGAAGCTAACCCTAACATGACGGCACCCACTGCACTGCAGGAAATATTCTACAGATTCTGGGCAAAGCTGTCAGAACAAGCTCAGAAAAATAAAGGCCCAGCTACTACTACCTACGGGAGCACAAGATGGCGGCAAACAGAGGATTGGGAGGCCTCCCAAGGGCACAAACCTGTCCCCAAACTACCACAATCAACACATGTTGCCCACCTGGGCTGAGAGCCAAGAAGGTTTTCACCCGCAAGTACCGGCCACGCAAGCGGACGGCTACGAGAGGCAAATGGAGTCCCATGTCGACATCAAGCAGTGCCCACCGCACCACCCCTAACGGGAAGACTCCGGACCTCACAGGAGGCCAGGTTCGTGGCCCCAGGGTACCAGCTCCCACATGACCCCAGGGCGGGAGGGATACTCCACCTGCAATACACCGCTCAACATTACGGACTGAGTCCACAAATGAGAAGTGACCCTCGTAGGGATATAGGATGACTGATCGGAGCAGTGGTTAGAGGGGCCAGCGTGGTTTCCCGCAGCCTGTGACCACCCTCATCTTATAGGACTCTGTTCCAAGCCATAATGAAGGCGGCGCCGGACGGCATTTCTCTGCAACCTAATATGTATAATGCCTTACTAAGCCAGTACACTAGGTTTGCAAGTCTGTACTCTCTAAATCTGTTTGCACCATACACTAGACTAAGGACACTAGCTAGACGGGACGATTTTGACACATCAGAGGCTTACTCACATGACCACGTGGAAGCACCATACTGCATCCGCACATTCCCTTTACCATACAGAGCATCTATACAGCTCATCTCTATGTCTACCTTGTTAAATCGTAACAAATCTACACTGACAATCGAGCCTTGATAGATATACCTAACATGTTCTTAAAAGCTTGTGTCTATTATAATTTAAAACTGTGCACGTCTCTCTCTGTAACCCCAATTGAAAAAAAAAATATGCCTGATGACTGCCGCTGCGGTACCTCAAGTCTGTATGTTAACACCCTTAAGCACTGCAAAAAAAAGAGAGCTGGGTACAAAAGAGATGCAGACTAAAAAGAAACCAAGCTTTTGCCACTCTGTATCTGACGTGATCTTTACTCAGGACTGCTGGAAGAACTTTTGCTATAATAAAGAATCTTTGGATCCTATGTAAGGTGTTTGATCAGCACTGCCCCATATCTCTTTCAGGGTTATTTACTAAAGTGAGATTTCAAAATCAATTCAAAGTGACTTTCAAATTTCAGACCAGAGTAGTCAAACTGTAGCATAGCTGACTTTAGAGAATTTCTCCACTTTGACTGTTTTCTCCCTAAATTTGAAATTCACTTTGAATTCAAATCATATTCACGCTTTAGTGAAAAATAGTGTATGTTTCACAGTGGGCAAAGTGTTGATTAAAATATCAGGCCTGAACTGGACTGAAGACCCAGGAGATCCAAAATGTAGACTCACAACTCCTTTAATGATTTGCCAGCCTTAAAGGAACTCTATTGTGTTAGGAATACAAACATGAATTCCTGACGCTATAGTGTTCTACTTCCTAATTATATTCAGCCGAACCCTCAAAGTAAATAAAAAAGGGGAATAAAAGCGTATAATTACCCTTTTTCCAGGGCAGAGACTCACTCCATACAGGTGCCCATTTCGCCGCCAGTGACATTGTCCCACAGGCAGTTTCCTCTAGGTCTTCTCATCCAATTCAATGCTTCTAATAGAGAAACATTGGGAATGAGAAGCACATTCACCGCAAGCACCATGCTCATCCATTCAGCTGTTTCTCATAGGTTATTCAATGCTTCACTATGATAAGCATTTGGGAATGTTATTATATAGCGCCAACAGATTCCGTAGCGCTTTGCAATATTATTAGAGGGGAGATTTAACTATAAATAGGACAATTATAAGAAAACTTACAGGAACGATAGGTTGAAGAGGACCCTGCTCAAATAAGCTTATAGTCTATCGGAGGTGGGGTATAATACACATTAGGACAAGAAATAGCAATCAAATAGGGTGGGAGTGAAGCAGAGCTGGAGAGAGAGAGTAAAGTGCTGCCCTTTAGGAGAGAGCAAGAGACAGGTATGTGAGGTAGAGGCTAGTCTGGGATGCCATAAGCTTTCCTAAAGAGATGGGTTTTAAGGCACTTCTTAAACGATTGAAGACTAGGGTAGAGTCTGATGGTGGTAGGCAGGCTATTCCAAAGAAAAGGAGCCACCCGCGAGAAGTCCTGCTAGTGCGAGTTGGCCGTACGTGTGCGAGCAGTGGACAGGAGAAGGTCACGGGCAGAGCGGAGAGACCGAGAAGCGGCATACCTATGGATCTGTGAAGAGATATAAGAGGGGCTAGAATTGGTCAGTGCTTTATAGGTATGGGTTAGCACTTTTAATTGACTCCTATAGGATACAGGAAGCCAATGTAAGGACTGACAGAGGAGTGAGGTGTGAGAGGAGAGACTAGAGAGGAAAATCAGTCTGGCGGCAGCATTCATTACAGACTGTAGCAGGGCAATACGGCTTTTAGGAAGAGGGTTACAATAATCCATGCAGGAAATTACGAGAGCATGGACAAGCTCCTTGGTAGCATCTTGCGTAAGAAAGGGGCGGATTCGGGCTATGTTTTTAAGATGGAATGTACAGGATTTGGCAACATACTGGATGTGAGCTTCAAAGGTGAGGCCAGAATCAAGTATGAAGCCAAGACAGCGCACTTGCAAGGATGGACTAATGTGGAAACCACTAACTTGAAGGGAGAACAAAGAGCGAAAGAGGAGGATCAGTATTAGGAGAATGAAAGTCAAGGAGCTCAGTTTTACAGAGATTGAGTTTCAGAAAGCGGTAGGACAAAAAGGCAAGCAGTGACACGTTGCAGGACGGCAGGGGAGAGGTCCGGGTAGGAGAGATATATCTGGGTGTCATCAGCATACAGGTGGGAGTGGAATCCAAATAAGGTAATAAGTTTGCCAAGAGAGGCAGGATAAAGAGAAAATAGAAGGGGACCAAGGACAGAGCCTTGAGGGACTCCAACCGAGACAGGACAAGGGGATTAGGTATCATTAGAAAAGGAGACTCTGAATGAGGGTTTGTAGAGATAAGAGGAAAACCCAGAGAGGACAGAGTCACAGAGACAGAGTGATTGAAGAGATTGAAGAAGGAGAACATGATCAACGGTGTCAAAGGCAGCAGAGAGGTCAAGAAAAATTATTATGGAGTAGTGGCCTTTGGATTTAGCTGCGATTAGGTCGTTAGTAACTTTGATAAGAGCAGTCTCAGTAAAGTGGAGAGGGCGGAAGCCTGACTGAAGAGGGTCAAGGATAGAGTTAGAATTGAGGAAGTGAGACATAGGGGTAAAGACAAGTCTTTCCAGAAGCTTTGAGGGAAAAGGGAGCAGGGATATGGGACGATAGTTAGAGTGGGAGGACGGTTCAAGAGATGTTTTTTTCAGGATAGGTACTACAGTGGCATGTTTAAGGTCAGTAGGGACAACGCATGATAAGGTGAGATGGGACAGGATCGAGTGTGCAAGTGGTGGGGCGAGAGGAAAGGAGAAGCGCAGCCACCTCTTGTTCAGTAGCTGGGGAGAAAGTCTGAAGGGTAGGCATGATCTACGTGTGGTTGAGAAAGAGAACGGCAAGATGAGGAGAATTCTGTTCAGTTTTGTCGGTAAAATAGCATGCAAAGCTATCAGCTGTAAGGTTAAGTCATCATGAAATGCGTGAGGACTTTGAACATAACCGAGTCTGGCTCTGTCATATCAGCTGAAGCACCCTCTAGTGGCTGTTAGAAAAACAGCCACTAGAAGTGTGTTTAGCCCTGCAATAAAAACACTGCAGTATCTTCAAAACAGCATTTTTTTTACATTGCAGGGCCAAAGTGAGAGGAACACTACACCCAGACCACTACATTGAGATGAATTGGTCTGGGTGCCTATAATGGTTCTTTAATGTTAACAAGGTATCATTAGGAGTGCAGTTCTGTAACAGTGGAGATATACCTTTTGACCATCGATCCCGTTGAACGCTTAAAGGACCACTCTAGGCACCCAGACCACTTCAGCTTAATGAAGTGGTCTGGGTGCCAGGTCCTTCTAGGGTTAACCCATTTTTTCATACACATAGCAGTTTCAGAGAAACTGCTATGTTTGTGAATGGGTTAAGCCTTCCCCCTAATCCTCTAGTGGCTGTCTCATTGACAGCCACTAGAGGCGCTTGCGTACTTCTCACTGTGATTTTCACAGTGAGAGCACGCAAGCGTCCATAGGAAAGCATTATGAATGCTTTCCTATGTGACCGGCTGAATGCGCGCGCAGCTCTTGCCGCGTGTGCGCATTCAGCCGACGGGGAGGAGAGAAGGAGGATCGGAGGAGGAGAGCTCTCCGCCCAGCGCTGGAAAAAGGTAAGTTTTAACCCCTTTCTCCTTTCCAGAGCCTTACGGGAGGGGGTCCCTGAGGGTGGGGGCACCCTCAGGGCACTATAGTGCCAGGAAAACGAGTATGTTTTCCTGGCACTATAGTGGTCCTTTAAGATAATTCTGAGTCGTGGAGAGTAGAGAAATATTACAAGCTCCTGCTCAGGACAGAAGTCTGTTGTGACCCCTGTAGTGTCTAAATGGTGTGATGGACTTTACTGTGCTGAAAGCCATAATTAGCACATTTGAATATATTTTTTACACCCTACATTTGCTTTGTGCCTTTTTTTCTGCTTATTTCCTGGTTCGTTGAAAAGCTTCTTGGCCTTGTTGGATCACTATATCCGTTGAAGCTTGCATGACTTTATATACTGGAAAGAAATTACCTACATTGTAAAACCCATTTTTGATCTCTCACATGCCGAATCCATTTAACTAATTTTGTGTCTTTTCCAACAATTTACACCTGAGCTCATTTAGAGCAGCAGTGGCAAACTCATGCAGTTGAGCGAAATCTGTTTTAGTCTATAAAGTGTATTTATATTCTATGTACATTTTGTTACTTAAGCAATTCGGATTAATTTCTGTGCAGTCTATAGGCACCTGGGAACTCCTTCAGATTCCAATGAAATTTTATGTAATTCAGAATATTTTATTCTGTTATATAAAACCTGGTTATTTGAATACAGCTGACTATACAGCTCCAACAAACTTTTGCTGGTCAAATGTAAATGATTGGTAAAGGTACATAGCTCTAGTTCACCTTCATTTTGAAGTATAGTATTTGTATCATATAACGACATTTTTAAATATTTGTGCAAAGCAACAAAATGACATCAGATGTTTGTGGTGTATATATGTACTCAAGTTATTAAGACAAAGTCATGTGAAAGGGACGCTGTAGGCACTATAGTCATTAGAAATCATTGAATGGTTATAGTCCCTGTAGACCCCTGGTACTGTCCCTCCATTCTGTGCTAA